ATATTATAATTAAAGAAAAAACGTTTTCTATTTTAATATATTTTAAAATGTAATTTATTCCTGTGATGCAAAGCTGAATTTTCAGCAGTCATTACTCCAGTTTTCAGTGCCAAACAATCCATGAGAATTATACTCTAATATGCTTATTTGGTGCTCAAGAAACATTTCTTACTATTATCAATGTTAAAAAACAGTTATTTTTTGATAAATAGAAAGTTCAAAAGAACAGCATTTTTTAAATCGATTTTTTTTTTTAAATGTTCCTGTCACTCAGTGGTAGAGCATTGTGTTAGCAGTGCAAAAGGTTGTGGGTTCGATTCCTAGGGAACACACATACTGGTAAAAAATGTATAGCCTGAATGCACTGTAAGTCGCTTTGGATAAAAGCATCTGCTAAATGCATAAATTATTATTATTTAATTAAATAAAAAATCTTACTGACCCCAAACTTTATATATTGTATCAATTACATATATTTTAATATAATATTTCACACAGTCATGTGTACAATAACAATATACAATATAATAATATTGTATAAAATATAATAATATTGATGGTTTAACAGTGCTTAGCTGAAATGTTTTTCATTAGTATGTAAAAAAAAGTAGTAAATATTTTCCACATTTATTGCTTTTGTAAAATAATTAAATTTCCAGTATCCTAAAAGTTCAAAACACAAATAATGACAGGAAGATAGAAAAATCAAACAGGAAGTGGAAGAGGGTTAGCACTAGAATATAAAAGAGAAAGAAATATATACAGAAAGAGACTGACTAATGAGAAGACAGTGTGGGAAGAGACTGCAGGAGTGGAAAGCTAAAATATAGGTGGGAAGATGAGCATTAAACAGCAAGGAATAAATAAAGAATATATGAAATGTCTGTACTCACCTCGTCCAGCACACGATTCTTAGCTCTGGTAATAGCATTATTTAAAACATTGATCCAAGATTCCTTCTCCTCTGGACTGACGGCGAGAAATACAAGATTGGGGCCCTAATGGAGTAAAAAATATATTAAAATATAAACTATCAAAGATTTTTAAATAAATGATGGTGTTATTTTGAATTTCCAAACATGCATTTTTAGGGTCTTTGGAAAGAACAAATACAAACAAATTTTCCTTGATCTTTTCATTAAGGAATCAGTTGCTCATTGCAAAATCTTCATGTTTTTGAAGTTATGATCTCTTTTAAAATTTCATCAAAAAGACTCTTCTTCTTTTTTTTTTTTACTGTGCAATAAATTAAGAAACTGGTTAAAATCAGACTTCACAAAAGTAAAAGAGGCACAAATTGAATTGTACCCTATTTTTTAAACCATAACATCATAATGTTTTGTTCTGACCTTGTTTCCAGTGTGTTGGCATCGGAGCAGGGTAAATTTACTGTGGTTCTTCTTGCTATGGCTCTTGGCCTTTCGCAGTTCCTCCGAGCGCTCATACTGTGCCAGGTCAAACACTTCATGAGTCTTCCCATCATTCTTCATCTGGACACAAGGACAGCAGCATCAGCACACAGACACAAGCCATCACCAGGCCTGAAGCTAGAAACAATTGCTATCATTAATTGAAATTATCAGCAGTGCTTTCCCAGGCCAACTGTGCAGACCACAGTGAATCATGATGGAACATATTGATTTTAGCTCCAAGGACAGCAATAATTAATGTTCAACAGAACACTGCTGTGAGATCATTGAAGGCTCAATCCATGCTGACAGAACACTAAATCACAAATCACAATAAACATTTATTTTACATAAAGTAACAAAACATCGGTACCCTTATCTAAAGGGATCGTTCACCCAAAAATGATAATTGAGTCATGGTACTCTCGTGAACACGTGTTGAACACTGAAACGGAAATGAAGAAATTGTTGAATAAAGTCTTTATTTTTGTTTTCTTTGCGCACAAAAAGGTCTCATAGCTTCATAACATTAAGGTTGAATCACTGATGTCACATGGACTTTTAATGATGTCCTTACTACGTTTCTGGGCCTTGAATGTGCTAGTTCCATTGCCATCTATGCAGAGTCAGAAAGCTCTCGGATTTCATCAAAAATATCTTAATTTGTGTTCCAAAGATGAACAAAGGTCTTATGGGTTTGGAGCGACATGAGGGTGAGTAATTAATGACAGAATTTTCATTTTTGGGTGAACTATCCCTTTAAGGTTATATGAACAATACATAGAACAAGTACAGCTAAATATATTTTGTATATTAAATTGGTCATATGTTTCTGTGGGCAACAATAACAACAACAAAGCAACCGAAAGTATGTTTAACTGTTCAATTCTAAAGTTAATTACCTGTCTATGGATGGAAATCAGTTTCTACCTCAGAGTAAAAAAATACTTTAGTTGACTTTATTTTTCAAAATTGCTAATTTATTTTTAACAATTACAACTATACATCACAATGGCAACTTTATTGCTCATAACCGCTCATTTTTTAATTTATGTCTTTAGGCCGTATTAATTTGTTAAAAAATACAGTAATATTGTGTAATATTATTACAATTTAAAATAACTGTTTTCTATTTAAATATATTTTAAAATGTAATTTATTAATGGATAGAAATGTTAAAAGAACAGCATTTATTTGAAATTGAAATTAGAAACATTATAAATGTTTTTGCTGTCATTTTGATGTGTCCTTGCTAAATAAAAGTATTAATTTCTCACTGACCACAATTTCTGAATGTGTATCTCAGTGACATTATATCACTCAATGTGAATTTATTATTTGAAAATGATGAGGTGAGAGTACATTCTTTTTCTGACAATGCTTACACAATGAAACCTCAAGAACAGCACAAACCTCACACACATATAACCAAGCCTAGCTCAGAATAAATTCTCTCTTCATGCCAAATAGTACAAAATGAATAGAACTGTGACTGGTGTTCTTTTTCATCAGAAATCAAGACAGATGTTCCAAACGGATTTCAGTTAGTCCAGCTCCTCCTCTAATTATTCAACCAGTGACCCATCTGTGAAAATGCCTCATTTTAAGACAGGTCAGTCCTCATTATAGCTGACTGTGGTGGAAAAGTGGTAAATTTCACCGAACCTGAGGGAGGAAAAACCCACAGTGGGACTTTAAATCCCAAAGAGACACAATGAGGGTCACAAGGGTTTCTGCTGAGACGAACACAAAAACTCAATGCTAGAGGTATTAACATGCACTATGTGATGTCACACGGAGCAAAAAAGATAAACAGAGACATTTTGGGTCAGAGTTCTGCATGGTTCCCAAGCATTCACCATAGCAACAGAAATACGCAACAAATGAATCTGGTGTCAGTGAGCTTGAGATTAAAGTACAAAGATCAAAGTGATCCGTGATCATAGAGCAGGCACAAGCAAACTGGCCTGTTCATAACATCTCTAGTTAATATGACTCTGCAATATCATATTCTGCTTTAAATGTGGTCGTGTTTAGAAAACCACCGGTTTTAAAATAAAGAGTTAAATGTAGGTAACATCCTCCTTATGGCACATATGGCCAAAGGTAATCTGTGTAACCGTATGCCTCCAGATGGCCTCCTGGGGTCACACATTTAAATGTGAGTGAGCGCACACTCTGAGAAAGAGCGTACTAGTGATGCTAATATGGGGCAAAAGACCCCTGGAGGAAAAGAGCCTGGCCTCTCTTCACCACATCAATATTTCACTCCCCCACTGTTGGCACAGCACGTTCCCGGCAGGGGGCCATCCTGATCTCTGGATTAACCACCTCCAAAAATAACCCACTAACCGACCATCTTCATTCTGACAGAGGTAACTCCATCAACAACTAGATGTAAGGACTAAAAACGCAGGCATCGTATAGAGTACTCCTATGAATATTACATTCTCTTGATGCTTTTTTCCCTGAAATTCCCAAGGATTTCAGAAGAGAGATGGTTTTCGAGGCATTGTGAACTGGTATTTTATTAAGCCATACAACCATACAACTGTTTCAGGATGTATGGAGACTACAGTGTAGTAAACATGAAGTGAACACTGACATTACTTGCCTAGTTTTACTTCTACGACCAGGCAGGAATTAAAGGTGGAAATAGATTTGCAGAGTCCCCTCGAATCACGTGTTCAGAGTGTTCTGTAATCTGGTTGACTGCATTATTTTGAGGTCAACCAATTTTCCTAAAATAGACATAATTAAAATAAACACCATATAGGTAAACCTAAAAGCGTTTGCCCTGCCAAATGGATGTGAGCGAGTGTTCAAATATCAGAATAAACAAAGATGATTAGACTGACAAGTGACACCTCATTTATTTGACATAAAAGAAAGATAAATACTTATATCAATCTAATATATGTATATGAATGTATATATTATATATATATATATATATTAAACCTTATTAAATTAACAACAATAACATTCTTATTTGTAGATATACAGTATAATAATATATGCATATTATTTTATATAGGCCTATATATAGAGAGTAAATAATAATATACATTAAATATACAAATACACACACACACACACACACACACATATAACAAGAACAAATGTGAAACCTCATGAAACCTCACTTAATTTATTATTAAAAATGTAAATGATTTTCAATTTTCTGATGTAAAAATGTTAATAAAAAAACATGTTAATGCTATAAATTTTCTGAACTAATGTAATGATAGTATTACTATACTACTACTAATAGTACTACTAATAAAATTATTATTCAAATTTTAAGGAATATTTATCAGAAAAAATATTTACCAGAATTTAGCAGAAAAATGTAAATACACAACACAGTATTTACAAAATGAAATAAATAAAATAATAATAAATATTTTTTTTTATAAAATCAGTCAATTAGAGATGCTTTTAATTATTATAATTTAATGAAACCATTAAAGTGGAATTCAGAAAATTAATGGAAAACACAGAATTTGGTGAAAATAAAACTGAATTTGAGAAAAAAAAATTCATAGGGTCATAAAAATTTAATTTTTGTTAAACTTTTAATAAATTGCAGTTAAATTGTGTACATTTCAATTAATTAGTAATTAAGTAATTATTTCAATTAATTAGACATGCTCTTTGATTAATAACATTTAATTTAACCATTAAAACAGAGTCTAGAAAAATTCAAACAGTATCCAGAAAAATGAAAATGAAAAAAAAAAAAAGATTTTGGACAGAAATCAAATGGAATTTGGGAACTAAAATGGATTTCAAAGGGCTCTAACACAGTAAAAAAAAAATCCCTATTGTTGAGCACTGCAGTGTTTTGAATATATGATGTTTTGAGCAATACTGACATATTTACAGATTTCTGTGAACACTGTTTATGGGTAAATCCTCAGTACATGTTTACATATGATCCATTTGCACAAGATGCACTCGCAGCCATGACTGATCAGCCTGAATACAGTGAATACTAGACTAGAGCATCAATTATTTACACCAGATAACCATTAAAACAGAGTCTAGAAAAATTCAAACAGTATCCAGAAAAATGAAAATGAAAAAAAAAAAAGATTTTGGACAGAAATCAAATGGAATTTGGGAACTAAAATGGATTTCAAAGGGCTCTAACACAGTAAAAAAAAAATCCCTATTGTTGAGCACTGCAGTGTTTTGAATATATGATGTTTTGAGCAATACTGACATATTTACAGATTTCTGTGAACACTGTTTATGGGTAAATCCTCAGTACATGTTTACATATGATCCATTTGCACAAGATGCACTCGCAGCCATGACTGATCAGCCTGAATACAGTGAATACTAGACTAGAGCATCAATTATTTACACCAGATATATAGAGAGAGCTTGAAAAGAAGCACTAGTAATTATTTCAATTAATTAGACATGCTCTTTGATTAATAACATTTAATTTAACCATTAAAACAGAGTCTAGAAAAATTCAAACAGTATCCAGAAAAATGAAAATGAAAAAAAAAAAAAGATTTTGGACAGAAATCAAATGGAATTTGGGAACTAAAAAGGATTTCAAAGGGGTCTAACACAGTAAAAAAAAAATCCCTATTGTTGAGCACTGCAGTGTTTTGAATATATGATGTTTTGAGCAATACTGACATATTTACAGATTTCTGTGAACACTGTTTATGGGTAAATCCTCAGTACATGTTTACATATGATCCATTTGCACAAGATGCACTCGCAGCCATGACTGATCAGCCTGAATACAGTGAATACTAGACTAGAGCATCAACAGAGTCTAGAAGATATATAGAGAGAGCTTGAAAAGAAGCACTTTGAACACAGTTATAGATGCTCAGCTGTCTACATGTATAAACTTCAAATGATTCCCTTGGGAGTCAGGAAGGATCGCAGCCTTTACGACTCGTGTTGCATGAGATGCGCTTCACTATGCTATATGAGTGAGATCAATTGAAGAGTTCTGTCAAGTGACATCATTCTGGCAAGAACAGGTCTACCTTGAGCACTGAAGGAAAGTCAAGTGCAGCGGTGCATAACGTTATCAGTACTATAGACAGCCACGGCAAACAATACACACAGCCTAAAGGCAGCGATCACCAGAGGACAGACCTGTAGCGCACATACTCAGACTGATGCAACCTGCTGACATTGTGTTCTGATATTATAAAAATAACCTTGCTTGCCTGACCAGTGGAAGAATTCACAGGACTGGAAGTAGGTACACAGAATGCTAATAATCTGGTCTGTGGCTCCTTTTACAACTTTAATTTCACTGAATAACTGAGGTATCTTGTGAAAATATGATGTCATGGATGCCAAATCCAAATATTTTGGGAATTCAAGAAGTGTTGACAGTGGAGAATGAGAGATTTAAGACTCAATTGCTATGAGCAAAGAATGTATATCAAAATAAAACTAAAGAAATAATTCACCCAAAAATGAAATTTTGAAATATACTCCAAGAATTTGTTTGTTCATTGGAACTCCAGTCCATCAATTAACATCTTGAGAAGCGAAAAATCTCTATGTTTGTAAGATTGTATGGGTTTAGATGGTTTTGGGTTTGGTTTTGGGACATTTTGGGTTTAGATGGTTGCTTCCGACTATCGATAATATTGTTTTCTCATTTTAATTGGTAGAGACGTGTGCACAGAGAAGACATTAATTGATGGACTGGAATCGTGTTGATTATTTTGATTTTTTTATCAGCTGTTTGTACTTTCATTCTGACGGCACCCATTCACTGATGAGGATTCATTGGTGAGCAAGTGATGTAATGCTACATTTCTCTGTTTCATTGAAAAAACAAACTCATCTACATCTTAAAATTATGTATGTATTTATGGGTTTTTTTGAGGGGGGGGGGCTATTCCTCTAATCATTTATCAGATCAATTAGTGATATATTCAGATATTAAAACACATTAAAACATTAAAACATTTTAACTTTTATTTTCCCGTAATGCTCTGTTTCATTGAAAAAACAAACTCATCTACATCTTAAAGTTATGTATGTATTTATGGGTTTTTTTGAGGGGGGGGGGGCTATTCCTCTAATCATTTATCAGATCAATTAGTGATATATTCAGATATTAAAACACATTAAAACATTAAAACATTTTAACTTTTATTTTCCCGTAATACTTTATATTTAAAATCTATACAAAACCATAACAGTGAACTCTAGGTGACAACTGCATCAGTGTCAGCAGGTCCAGTTTATGTTTGTGTGGTTTGCCTCCACCTGCATTTTCTGTGTGCGCTTGATTCCACAAGTAAATCAACGTCTTTTTAAAGTATGGATTCTTCTTTGATTCATTATTTCCAAGTTCATTTCTAAAAACAGATTAACAAAAAGAAAGAATAGTGAAAGTATGGTGATGATCTTGATTTTAAGCCAAACAAAATATGACCCAATAACAATAACAACTAAAGATCTTTTTTAGAGTTGCATTAATATTCCTGTTCATGGCAAACTTTAAAAAGCTTATCTGTTTCTTATTTGTGCCACTAACAGGGCATAAATTACAGCAACCCTTGATTTAGATGTTGTATGTGGTTTGTTTACATGGGACTGGATTCAGAGTCCTGAGCATCCCCAGTGAGCGAGAGAGGTGCAGCTGGCTCTTGAATCTTTTAATGTAAATAACAATGTCATCCAAAAAAAAACAGCAGCTGTGTGAATGAGGGATGTGCAACTGCCTTCTCAACTCTTAAATCCATTTATATCACTTTAATGAGAAAAACAAGGGCATCGCTGTATAGTTTTCCATGATGATATGCTGTTAAGTGATGACTCTGTGAAACTGATGAAGGCCTGCAGGCAGTGACAGAAACAAGCTGCTACACTTCCATGAAAATTAAAACCATCCCTCTACACATGCTTCAAGTGAGCAAATGATTCAATTGTAAAGATTTGTTGCTCCTATAATGAACCGGAAATTGAATTCAACTGAATATCTGTAAGCAACTTCCAGAACCTTCAGGGATCTTTGGTACAGGCACAAAATCCACGACACAAGCACAGGTTCACATGCTGCTTGTTGTTTCAGGCCACAGTTCAGTTTCAATTTCCAGTGTTTATATAATACGCTTTAGAAAATTATAGCTTGTCAAAGGGATTACTTTGATGTTGCAAAAGTATGTCTTTTATATCAAGGGCAGGAGGTTTTGGCAAACATTCATTATTAACATTCATAACTCACTACATAATCACTATATAGTAGTTGACATGGTATACTTTTGGAAATTTGACATGTCTGCATTGTTTTGATCATTTTGAGCATGAAGTCATTAAAATCTTAATAACTCACCTCTTTTTCAAAGATGTACAGATGATCTCCTTTAAGCATCACAAAGCGGTTTCGCCATATTTCCCTAAATATTCCTTTGCCACTGAACCTGCGGATCCAGCCTACTTTGTCTGGTTGGGATGATGGCTGGTTGGCATCCTGAAGACCCTGAGTGTGTCAACAATGACCCGGTTAGTGTGTCGCCTGTCTTACATAATAGCATTCGAGTTCAAACAGATCTCTGTCGCACTGCACTGTGCTAAGCCTTCATAACATTTATTCAGTATCTGTGATTCGTACTTATTTTTTTAACTAGTAAGTCTTCCAATAGTGACTGGCATCTTTTTCACTAGTATTTTAACTAGTAAATCCCAGTATGTCTCTTCAAACAGTTTTCAAGCATTTTTACTAGTTACTAGATCCAGTTTTTCAGTAGCAATTAATTACATACTAGTGAATATAAATTATTTTGATGTTTTTATCAGCTGTTTGGACTTTCATTCTGACGGCACCCATTCACTGATGAGGATTCATTGGTGAGCAAGTGATGTAATGCTACATTTCTCTGTTTCATTGAAAAAACAAACTCATCTACATCTTAAAATTATGTATGTATTTATGGGTTTTTTTGAGGGGGGGGGGCTATTCCTCTAATCATTTATCAGATCAATTAGTGATATATTCAGATATTAAAACACATTAAAACATTAAAACATTTTAACTTTTATTTTCCCGTAATGCTTTATATTTAAAATCTATACAAAACCATAACAGTGAACTCTAGGTGACAACTGCATCAGTGTCAGCAGGTCCAGTTTATGTTTGTGTGGTTTGCCTCCACCTGCATTTTCTGTGTGCGCTTGATTCCACAAGTAAATCAACGTCTTTTTAAAGTATGGATTCTTCTTTGATTCATTATTTCCAAGTTCATTTCTAAAAACAGATTAACAAAAAGAAAGAATAGTGAAAGTATGGTGATGATCTTGATTTTAAGCCAAACAAAATATGACCCAATAACAATAACAACTAAAGATCTTTTTTAGAGTTGCATTAATATTCCTGTTCATGGCAAACTTTAAAAAGCTTATCTGTTTCTTATTTGTGCCACTAACAGGGCATAAATTACAGCAACCCTTGATTTAGATGTTGTATGTGGTTTGTTTACATGGGACTGGATTCAGAGTCCTGAGCATCCCCAGTGAGCGAGAGAGGTGCAGCTGGCTCTTGAATCTTTTAATGTAAATAACAATGTCATCCAAAAAAAAACAGCAGCTGTGTGAATGAGGGATGTGCAACTGCCTTCTCAACTCTTAAATCCACTTATATCACTTTAATGAGAAAAACAAGGGCATCGCTGTATAGTTTTCCATGACTTTAGAAAATTATAGCTTGTCAAAGGGATTACTTTGATGTTGCAAAAGTATGTCTTTTATATCAAGGGCAGGAGGTTTTGGCAAACATTCATTATTAACATTCATAACTCACTACATAATCACTATATAGTAGTTGACATGGTATACTTTTGGAAATTTGACATGTCTGCATTGTTTTGATCATTTTGAGCATGAAGTCATTAAAATCTTAATAACTCACCTCTTTTTCAAAGATGTACAGATGATCTCCTTTAAGCATCACAAAGCGGTTTCGCCATATTTCCCTAAATATTCCTTTGCCACTGAACCTGCGGATCCAGCCTACTTTGTCTGGTTGGGATGATGGCTGGTTGGCATCCTGAAGACCCTGAGTGTGTCAACAATGACCCGGTTAGTGTGTCGCCTGTCTTACATAATAGCATTCGAGTTCAAACAGATCTCTGTCGCACTGCACTGTGCTAAGCCTTCATAACATTTATTCAGTATCTGTGATTCGTACTTATTTTTTTAACTAGTAAGTCTTCCAATAGTGACTGGCATCTTTTTCACTAGTATTTTAACTAGTAAATCCCAGTATGTCTCTTCAAACAGTTTTCAAGCATTTTTACTAGTTACTAGATCCAGTTTTTCAGTAGCAATTAATTACATACTAGTGAATATAAAATGTTTCACTAGTAATAGATTTTAATTGAACAAATTGCTGTCATGTGGCAAGTAAAAAAAAAAATCTATTGTGACTAGTGAAAAATGTAACTTGCAACAACTGGAAATATATATTAGTGTCATAAGAATAGGTAATATTATCTAATAAGTACTAGTAAAGCTGGAATAGATAGTCTATATTAACTATTAAGCGACTACAACTAAGAAATAGACTATTAGTTCCCATGTCTAAATAAATTGAACTCACTATTGGTAGGCCTATAAGCAGGATACTGAAAGTAAATTTACAAATATAGGCAGTAGTTTGTATTGGATTACTTTCTAATAATGAAAAATACTGGGAACAAAAAATTAACACTAGTTCAATTAAAGAAATAAATGTTAATATGGCCTAATATATTGCACCCTAATAAAAGTCAAATTTTCACTACCGTGGTCTAAAATGATTTACTATGAGTTGGTCAATTAAGGGTGTGGCTAATTGAATATTCTGTTAAATAAAATAAAAGATGAGCCAATTACACGAGTGACTACAGCATATAACGAAGAAGTGTAAAAGATATACCGTCTCATTCGGCGATGCATAACAAAGGAGTCATTGTTAAATTAATTTACACATAGCCTATTTGAAAACAGAGTAGTACAAATACTTGCGCTGTATTACATTCAGTCCCTGTTCAATTAAACTATTAAATTAAGAACATTCAAAATCAATATTTTCACATCATAGACTCATTAGTGTATGAAATTCTCACCCTTTTGACCAAATGGCTTTTCTTCATGCTGTTCGCAAAATGTATCTTTCCCGAAGTATATCCCGCGATCTGTCCCGTTTTCTAGAAGAAACAGAGATGGTTTTGTTTATCTTTTGCTGTGAATTCGCCTCGTGCAGGTGCTATGGATGGGATGAGGTGCTGGCTCTCAGTTCATTGTCCATTAATGTCAACAAATTGAAGCTTATTGTGCAGTGTTCCCATTTTCTTACCGAAAACTATTAGAAACATTTTAAAGGAATGTCAGGAGAGAGAAAAAGAAGACCAATGTGCTCAGCTCAGGGTTCAGAGGATAGACAGCGCTGGGAGTGTAAGCACACATTAATATGAGTGATGATAACAGCTCAGCGTCGGCTCAGCTGACGGCCTCCGCCTAGTGTTCTGTCACCACCTGAACCTACTGAAAGCATCACTTCCTCCAGAAAGCTGTAACAAAGAAGGGGAACATATTTGGGTTGTAATGGATGAGTACAGTCAGCACTGTATTTGACAGAGTCAGGTATACACAACCTAGAGTGGTTAACAGAATACATCGACACAACATCATGAATACTTACATATTACCTTTATGGGAGAAGTTACAAACAGAAAGCAAAATGCTCATCCACATATACATTAAAATTACATATTTTGTTTCAGGAAGTTTATAAAAAGTCAAGCGGGTTAACTGTATCTAATGGCTACAGCTTAAAATAGCCACAGCTCTGGTTAAATTAGGTGGAAATAAACTGAAGCTTTATGAATAAATCTAGCTTAAACTAAATTTATTTGGTTGAAAATACTAAGATTCAAACAGAGTTTATATCACACACATATATATTGCATAAATCTCTGTCACTTTTGATAAATTTAAAGGGTTAGTTCACCCAAAAATGAAAATTCTGCAGTAGAGACGAAAATGTGGAATAAAGTCGTTATTTTTGTTTTCTTTGCGCAAAAAAGTATTCTCGTAGCTTCGTAACTTTACAGTTGAACCACTGATGTCACATGGACTACATTGTCGATCATCTTGGTACTTTTCTGGACCTTGAACGTGGTAGTTACCTTGCTGTCTATAGGAGGGTCAGAGAGCCCACATATTTCATCAAAAATATCTTAAATTGTGCTCCGAAGGTTTTACGGGTTTCGAACAACACGAGGGTGAGTAATTAATGACAGAATTTTCATTTTTGGGTGAACTAACCCTTGAATGCATCCTCGTTAACATGAGTATTAATTTGTTTAAAAAATTAAAAAAATTAAAAAATCTTGCGGACCCCAAACTTTTGAGTAGTAGTGTGTACATAAAATATATATTAAATAAGTAATCCAATATCCAATAAAATTAAAATCTCTGAGTGAGACCGCTAATAAACAGGAATCCATATATTCTAGAGTATCAGTGAAACCTCCTGCAGAATAAGAATGAATGACTGAGTTATATAGAATGATGAGTTATTATAAGTCATATGAGTACCACAATTGTATGTTCTTTACATAATGCAATTCTAGGGCTGATGTCACTCTGTAACCGGGATCCTTCTTGAATAAGGCATAAAGGCTTGTGTGCCAGAGGGCAAATGGATAGAGAGAGGTGAGATGGTGAAAAGAGACGACCACGTTGAGAGCATTTTAAGACACTGACCTCTTAGTGTTGAGAATGGCTGTGCCCCCGAGTACGATCCGTACCCCCGGCATTGTGCGGTTCAGGTTGTAAACAGTCAATGCCTCTTCATAAGTGGCCCCGCCAATTATAAAAACAATAATGTCTTGAGGTCTGAAGGGTCGAGACAGAGTGTGAAGGAGTACATTTATATAACTGCAGTCCATGTTTTTCAATCCAAGCAAAAAGTTTCTGTATTGTACATTAAACAGACTATTCAAAACTAATTTAACTGGTAGGATGTTTGAAAACAGCCATTCCATTATTATAGAAATCATACACTTCACCTTTAAAGCAAAATCAAAATGCTCACATTAAATGTCTATAAGTGTGGCCATATCTTTAATGCATGAGTGTGCATGCCAGTCTATTTATGTATCCATGTCACCTGTCTCTCAGAGAACTTGGCCCGAGGTATGGGAACTGGCTGTCCTTCAAACGACCCTTGATCAGCTGATCCAGCGTGTCATGTAGTAGTGGCTGATGCTGTGTGTACACATTCTCAACTCCCTATTCAAATATATAAACAAGTTCTGAGTATGTGACTATGCCAATATGACATATTAAGAAAACACATTGGTAAACAGATGATCTACCTTAAGTCCTTTGAAAAACAGTTTGGTAATGGCCACAGCATCTGTAGGAGTGATGAGGTCACTTCCTCTGACTCGTTTGCCACCATATTCCACCACGGCTTGTACCATCTGCAGCATAGATGTATGCAACGTTGAGCTCACTTTCATTTTTAGTAATAAAATGACTTTGCTTCAGATTCATCTGGATCTGTCATCGTGCTACAAGACAGATCTGATGGCTCTCACCTTGCGGTGTCTTTCTGACAGCCCTTTGCGTTTGAGCTCCTCCATAAGGCTGGGCAGAATACTGCTGCTGTGTTTTTCATAGCGAAGTGCATATAGCATCACCAGCCGCACAGCATCAATTTCAGAAAGCCGAGGGTTCTGCAACAGCCGCCTCACGTTCTGCAGAAAGAGGAATGAGTATATCTTTAACAACGGCGCAAGATCCCATCTTAATATATTGTAGGCAATCACAAGGAACATTGGAGATAGACATTCACTACCGTTCAAAAGCTTGGGGTTGGTAAGATTTTTTAAAATGTTTTTGAAAGAACTTACTTATATTTATTTGACAGTAATATTATGAAATATTATTAAAATGTAATATAATTGTTTATTTTTTAAATATATTTCCAAATTAATTAAAATTATTAATGAAATGATTAAATGTAATTTAAACCTTAATGATTGCGAAACTGAATTTTCAGCAGCCATTACTCCAGTCACATGATCTTTCATCATGAACATGCTGATCTGCTCCCTCAAGAAACATATTATTATCATCAGTGTCTGCACTCTGACCTGTTGTGCACTGGAGTGGTCATTCTGGCAGGCCAGCTCCTGCTCCACCTCTGACACTTCCATCAGCTGTCTTTCACTGACCAGGCGAGACAGCTCCCCAACCACGGTTACGTGTTTTGAGACTGTGCCTGACATTTTCTTAAACTGCGGGTAATTATCCACAAATGCCTACAAAAGGGCCAGAAAATGGTGATTAAATACAGAACTGGATAATGCAATAATAAAAGTTCTGGAACAGGTGTCTTCATGGTTCACTCCTCATATAAGATGTGTTACAATGAACAATATTAACTACACTCACCTTCATGTCAGATATGGACTCTAATTTTTGTTTGTCCTTGGGCTTTTTCTTCTGGAAATCCTCCATCAGGTTCTTGATATTTGTTCCAATCTCACCAAAATTCAGGTACAAGTTCTTATTAACAGAAAGAAGAAAAGAAAACAACAACGTCGAGTTTCTATGTTTTAAATTTTTCGAAACCTTTTTCTTTTCATGTTAGACCTCGTTGTGTATTTACAGTACATTGCATGAGCTTATATTTACTTATGGGCGTTTCTTCGGAAATAAAATCGAATTAGTACATAATTGCAGGATGTATTACTCTTTAATGGAATCTGCCTAGCAATGATATTTTGAATGATAAGCTACTCACATTTGCATAAAACTCATCATTATCTGCAGACAAGACCACCTCCCGTAGGTCCTTACTGATTCCAGGCACTCTTGACAGGTCTATGCGGTTGTTATTGAGGCCCAGTAGCTCATGAACCATGGCCTGATACGTCCACTAGAGGAAGCAAATGCATGCACATGTAGAATTTGCTGCAATATCAGCACACTAAATCATTATGTAACGTTTATTTTGCTGCAGTAAGACAACCATTTCAGCAAAAGCAAGCAGAACACACTGTCTCCTGTAAATCTCACAGTAGAGAAAAAGAATAAATGTCCAACACTAAAACATACTGTTTTAGCAGTTTTCTAATATAATCCAGAATAAAACCATGGTCTCCATCTCCCTCTGGTGGCCAGGTCTAAGATTCTGCATGCAGATCTTGTTCTGTAATATGAGACTCAAATGTAACATTACTAAGAGACATTGCTTCTTGCCTGATTAAGAAGGGGAGTTATAGCATCGTCACTTCTGTCTAAAATCAGGAGAAGAGGAGGCACTTCTGTTTTTCGGAAGTCAAACAGTTCATACTCCTTAGTAATGATTTGCTGTGGAAAACAAACAGATCAAAAGTTCATACATTTTTATCTGTTATTATTTTTATCAAAACTTGACATCTATAATTAAATCAAATTACTAATAATGAACATTACAGATTTGTGATATAATTACAAAATAAAGCCTTACTTTGACACTTTCTGCCAGTCTTTTGGACATGTCAGAAGAGAGCTGGTAGCGGATCATGGGGCATTTCTTCAGGGCCAGCAACACTGATGTCAAACCCTGAGTGACACGAGGCAGTACAACGGGCTCCCAACTGCGACCCTATAAACAGAAAAATTCACAATGAGCCTAAAACAGAAAAAAAAGAGCGTCAGATAGTTGTAAAAGAAAGAAATAATTATTCCAAACAGCACTATCAGTTTATAAGATCTTATGATTATCGTAAATGATCTCCACCAGTTTTCTGTTCAGTATCGTAACATAGCCCCCTAGGTATGTGAGGGAAATTCACTGAGTAAGTAAATAGCAGTACACCTGCATTTTCTGCTGCCATAAAGCAACTGAAAAGCAATTTTCACAGGATTTTGCACCTGCACACCAGGCTCACACACTCTGAGGACAGAGGTTTTAAGGGGGGAGCATGAGAAAGAAACAGAAGCCATTAGCCTTGTTAGAAGTCAGTGTGCCACCAGAATGACTTTGAAACTGATATTTCAAGTTGCTTTAATGATTCATACACAGGTTAAACCACACAAAGCAACACAATTCAAGCTCTAAGTTTTCTATAAAAATAGTTAAGCCTCCTCAAATTTAACAAAAGCCTACATTTTCTCTTACCCTGGATACTCCTTGAAGGTTGAGGGAGAAGAGATGAGGGTTCACAGCAATGAAATCTCCATAGAACTCCTAGAATAACACAAAATCTAATTGGTTGACCAGAACATTGTGTAAACACTGATTTTAATTTTTTCCTTTTTTATGAATGGATGGACAGACAGACAGAAGTACTCCAGAGATGTAGAGAAGAACTA